ATCAGGTGTGTCACAGGTGAGGTCAGGTGGGATCAGGTGGGATCAGGTGTGTCACAGGTGTGTCACAGGTGAGGTCAGGTGGGATCAGGTGTGTCACAGGTGAGCTCAGGTGGGCTCAGGTGTGTCACAGGTGTGTCACAGGTGAGCTCAGGTGGGATCAGGTGTGTCACAGGTGAGGTCAGGTGTGTCACAGGTGAGGTCAGGTGTGTCACAGGTGTGTCACAGGTGAGGTCAGGTGTGTCACAGGTGAGGTCAGGTGAGGTCAGGTGGGATCAGGCGTGTCACAGGTGTGTCACAGGTGAGGTCAGGTGTGTCAGAGGTGTGTCACAGGTGAGGTCAGGTGGGCTCAGGTGAGGTCAGGTGGGCTCGGGTGGGCTCCCAGGTGGGCTTAGGTGAGCTCTGGTGAGCTCTCAGGTGGGGTCAGGTGGGCTCTGGTGAGTTCAGGTGGGGTCAGGTGGGCTCTCAGGTGAGGTCAGGTGAGGTCAGGTGGGCTCTCAGGTGGGCTCCCGGGTGCTGGGAGTCTCACCGGGGGGTGTCACCTGGGTGGTCTCACCTGGGGGTCTCACCTGGGGGTCTCACCTGGGGGTCTCACCTTGGGGTGTCACCTGGGGGGGTCTCACCGGGGGGTCTCACCTGGGGGGTCTCACCTGGGGGTCTCACCGGGGGGTCTCACCTGGGGGTGTCACCTGCAGGGAGTTCCTGCAGCGGGTGTTGGATGAGGGGAGCTCGGAGCTGTTCCTGGTGGTGCCGCGGGAGGTGGAGGAGGAGGGGACGTGGTTGAGCCCGGAGTGACACCTGAGGGACACCTGGGTGACACCTGAGGGACACCTGAGTGACCCCTGAGTGACACCTGAACAACACCTGAACGACACCTGACACCTGAACAACACCTGAGTGACCCCTGAGTGACACCGAACGACACCTGAATGACACCAAGTGACACCTGAACAACACCTGAACCCTGAGTGACACCAAATGACACCTGAGTGACACCTGAACCCTGAGGGACACCTGAACAAGACCTGAACAAGACCTGAAGGACACCTGAGCAACACCTGAACGACACCTGGGTGACACCTGACACCTGAGTGGCACCTGGGTGACCCCTGAGGGACAGCTGGGTGACACCTGAATAACACCTGAACGACACCTGAGTGACACCTGACACCTGAGTGACCCCTGAGTGACACCTGAGGGACACCTGAGGGACACCTGAATACCTGAGTGGCACCTGAATGACACCTGGGTGACACCTGAACCCTGAGTGACACCTGAACAACACCTGAACGACACCTGAGTGACACCTGAACGACATGTGAATGACACCTGACACCTGAGTGACACCTGAGTGACCCCTGAGGGACACTGGGTGACACCTGAGTGACACCTGAACCCTGAGTGACACCTGAACAAGACCTGAACAACACCTGAAGGACACCTGGGTGACACCTGAACGACATCTGAGTGACACCTGACACCTGAGTGACACCTGGGTGACACCTGAGGGACACCTGAACACCTGAGTGGCACCTGAGTGACCCCTGAGGGACACCTGGGTGACACCTGAACGACATCTGAACGACACCTGAGTGACACCTGACACCTGAGTGACCCCTGGGTGACACCTGAGGGACACCTGGGTGACACCTGAGGGACACCTGGGTGACCCCTGAGGGACACCTGTGTGACACCTGAACGACACCTGAGTGATACCTGACACCTGAGTGACACCTGAGTGACATCTGAGGGACACCTGAATACCTGAGTGGCACCTGAATGACACCTGGGTGACACCTGAACCCTGACACCTGAACAACACCTGAACGACACCTGAGTGACACCTGAGGGACACCTGGGTGACACCTGAACGACATCTGAAAGACACCTGAATGACACCTGACACCTGAGTGACACCTGGGTGACACCTGAGCAACACCTGAACAAAACCTGAGGGACACCTGAGTGACACCTGACACCTGAATGACACCTGGGTGACACCTGAGTGACCCCTGATGGACACCTGAGTGACACCTGAACACCTGAGTGGCACCAAGTGACACCTGAGTGACACCTGAACAACACCTGAATGACACCTGAGTGACACCTGACACCTGAACAACACCTGAAGGACACCTGAGTGACACCTGACACCTGAGTGACACCTGAGTGACACCTGAACAACACCTGAGTGGCACCAAGTGACCCCTGGGTGACACCTGGGTGACCCCTGGGTGACACCTGAGTGACACCTGAGGGACACCTGGGTGACCCCTGGGTGACCCCTGGGTGACACCTGAGTGACACCTGATGGACACCTGAGTGACACCTGAACACCTGAGTGGCACCAAGTGACACC